TATATATATATATATAATCATTTCTTGTTGGGGGCGTTTTTTAAAAATGAAAACAAAAAACAGGAAACTGTTGAACATATATAAAGAAGCCTACTGACATATATGTAATTTTAGTCACGCTTTTCTTTGTCACTCGTATTCGTAGAAACCATGGAGGCCAATTCAAAAGGGAGCATAATGGTAGGCTGAGCTCTGAGGCGCAATTGGCTGAGGATTTGAGCCAATATAGGCGGAGCCACCAGCAAGCTTTACCAGACCCACTTGGCCGTGCATTCCATCTCTGCCGTACTGTTGCCATAGAAGCTGCTCTTGCATAAGTAACTGCTGCTTCTTCTCCATTTCAGCTATCTGCACATATGAAGGAGGTGGCACTGTAAGCGATGCAGCGAAAGGGTCCTGATCCCCGATTGGTTTAACCGTTCCATCTGGTGCTGGAAGTGCCAGAACTTGTGCAGCAGTCTTGCTTTGGCCTTTCATTGCCACACTACTCGAACTCCCGTCAAATTGCTCGGCATTGGCATGCTGCCTAATCGTCCCATGGTCGTACATTCCATTTAATAGCAGTGGGTCAAAACCACCGCCCATATCAGCCTTCTGCTTTGACAGATTGCTAGCAGTTTCAACCAATGCCAGTTCCCATTCTGGTTTGCCAGCCTCGGCCGCTGGCGTTTGCCACGCTGAACTCACTTCAGGCTGCTTGTCTGATGAGAAAGTTTCCCATGAACCATTAGGATTTGCTGGGGGTCCAGAGAAAAGAGCCAAGGCCAATTTGTTCCCTTGCTCATCTGCTGAAACTCCATCCTCTCTCAAGTTCACCAAGTCTTCTGGTCTTGAAGGCGGTTGCAGGGTAGGTGAACAATTCTCCAGCGGAGGAAGAGCCTTTATCTCATTCATGTAACATTCAGGCTCCTCAGCTGGTAGCGACTTCACCTTCTCCTCCCTTCTCCTCTCATTGTAATCCTTTGGCCTTCTTGACATCTCTTTTAGGAAGCCCCCAAGTGTGACCAAAAGATTACAAGTTATCCTCTGAGCCTCTGGGTATTCAGAAGATCTTGCAATTCCCACATCCTTACACCAAGTGTAAAATTCATCAAGTTCATCAATCTTCTTTGCAGCATTAGCACAAACATCAAATGCTCTAAGACAATCACCATATTCCATTTCTTTAAAGCGATCCAGCAAATACCCTAATGCCTCACAAATCTCAACATACAACCCAAAGCTATCATTAACAACCAAATCAAGCGCAGTAATTACTAATCTACTACTCTTGGCCATCCCTGTCGGCCTACAAGCTAAAATTCGATCGAGAATTCGAAGCAATTGACTCAACTCATCCACTACACTCTCTGGTCGCATTGACCTCCATGGACTCTGCCTCCTCCTCTGCCTCACATTATCAAATTCATCTCTACGATCAAAGTTAGTATCATCACTCCCTCTTATCCTCTTCTCAAGAACCAGATTCTCAGCCATTTCATCAAGATACAAAGCGTAAGACCTCACAAAACTAGAATGATCCCACGAATTCGAATGCGCTTCATCTCTAAAACTAGACAGATCCAAGACTCGTATACCTTTCCGCGTAGCGTACACAATTTCCTCTCCAAAAGAGGAATTTCCATCAATCAAAACCCTGTGCACGACCACTAGCGCCTTGAGCGCAACTATCCAATCGCGAGTCTTACTCAAACGTTTAGAGATCGTAATCACACACGCACTCACATATCCATTCGAAGTCGAGCACAAATTCACAATCTCCCTAATATACCTGTGGTCGGCGGGATCCTCGTCGTGGCTCGTCGCCTTGACAACCAAAACTTCAAGCTCCGACGCCGTATTTCCAGCGACTTTAGCGATGCTAATGCTCGTTTGGTCCTTCACAGCTCCGAGCGCTTTCCTGATCGTGCTTTGAGCCATTGACTACAAAAATGAAAAAATTTTGAGTTCGCGTCTCACTGAAATGAAATCAGCAATTCCACTGTAATAAGTACGTTGAGGAGTAGAAGAGAACACTCAGCAATGGCGATGATGAAGAAGGCCGTGTGACCAAAGAAGCTGTAAGGAAGAGAGAACGAAAAGAGGTTTATTCAGACGTACTGAAACCAAAAGGACGTTTCAGAGAGAGAGAGAGAGAGCGGAGAGATGAAATCCATAACGTAAGAGAGGGGACGGTGATGCTCATTTCATTAAAACGACATCGTGCTCAGTTCTACTTGTACGCTATAGAGATGCTGCCACGTGGCTTCATATCTTACTTGCACACCAAGATTCAAATAGCGCAATGTTTGAAAATGTCAATATCTAAAAATTAATTAATCTCTTTGACCTTCTCTATAAATTCTAATATTATTAATATTATTTACCAAGTTCTATTTAAGTTAAACTTTATTTACACAATAATGATTAATTTTAAATTTTATTAAAAGTACACACTCATTAAAATAGTATTAAAACCTATATTTAATTAGTTTGATCGGTAAATAGAAGCAAAATAGTTACGATTTTGTATAGTCATTTGTTTTTAATTCAAACCTAATTTAATAGATAAAGCACGGATTATCATACCAAGTTCGACCTTCGACCTCCCACCTTGTCATGAAACTCGAACCAATTCTATTAATTATCTGAAAAGAAGATATTATTTCAAAGAAAGCTCAAGAAAAAATATGCCATCACTAAATGAAAAAGTACTTACACTCCAAATATGTCAGATCACTTCATTCCATAACATATTTCGTAAGAAGTCGATCCAATATCATTACAATACAATGAAGAGGTACAGGCAATTACTGCACAAAATTCTATTACTATCTGTGGCAAGATAATGCAAAAATCAGTAGACTAACCCAATGGATCATCTACCATAACATCACTCGCTCACGCTAACAGTTCAAACTTTCCTGTTAGCCACACAACTTGTGTCTAAGTATATCACCACCAATAATCATCAGTCTTCACCTATTGTTTCTGGTAGCTAAATATTCACATCCTCTGGCAGCAAGGGCTCTATGGTTGCTTATGCAACTCTGGGATGCTGTCCACAGAGGTTCTTACACAGCCTCCAGGCAGCAGGAATCTGAACTTGTCTGCATTCTCTATCAGGTATGCAGGAAGGTGAATAGCTGAGGAAGAACGAGGAATGGAGCCCATCTTCTTAATCAACTCCTGGAACGTGTATTCTTCGGGAAGCATGTCAAACAGATCATCTCCCTGGCAAATGAGCTTCTGAATCCTTGAGTAATTCAAGAACTCTTGCCGCCTTACACGGTCTGCGTGGCTATAAGCTGTCATCTTGAATGCAAAGTCTTGAATGCTCCTAAAGCAAAAGCTACAATGCCACCCTGCATCCGAGAATATAAGATCGGTTTGGCGAGAATGCCTGTAATGACTCTGTGGACCATAGATGTGAACTGAGGCTCGCCAGCTGCTGAAGTCCACAGGGAACTCAAAAGAATACATGTAATTCCTCATTTCAAGATGGACTATAGGAGGCACCTCATCGCACCATTGCAGGAGTTTCACAGTATGTGGGCTCGGAATCTCATCAGTATCTGTCATGATCAAAAGATCACCAACTGAAATCCCTGCGCGCTGAAGTAATCCGTTCATAGCGACGCGTTGCTGGGATTCAAGGTCAAATGGGTTTCTATAGGACTCACGAGAGTCAACTTGTCCAGAAAACACATCATGGACGGTTTTATTTTCTGCAAAGGCAAACCTATCTCGATTTATTTGGAATAGTAATGGCTTGTGTATGCCTGTAAAAGTGGTGTATGACTCCAGAATTACAAACTTCCAGACATATGGGTAAAGCTCACGCCATCTGATTTCAAGCAAATCTAGCTCATTGCTGAAGATGATGGCATCAAAAACACGACGAGGTGTGGATCGTAAAGACCAGCCATGGAGGCGACAAAGGTGTTCCATCGACACATTTTCTGCATAGTAGTGTGGTAGGCGTATAAAAGGGGGTGGAGGGCTGTCCCAAAGTGGGCGGAAGAAATAAGAAATCTTTTGGACATAATTGAAAATGGTAAAGACACTGATGGGAACAAGCATAAGAAGCATAAAAAGATATCTGGGTCGTATTCGTCTAGAATTGACCCGAACAGATTTTGTAGCCATTGTTTTAAGGGAGAATACTATGGGAAGGAAGCTACAGACGCAATGTTTTAGGTACAGGTCACAGAGCAGTCATGGTCTCACCACTGTTGGTTACCTGAGAAAATTGCCAACAAATTACAAACCAGAAGAAAAGGGATGGGGAACAGCAATTATGTGTTCAATTCCATTTTCGATGTCAATGGTATAACCGTGATGTGACACCCCAAACCTACCACTAGCAAATATTATCCGTTTTGGCTTGAAACGAATCGTTGTCAGCCTCATGGTTTAAAAATAGGTTTCCACACCCTTATAAGAAATGTTTTGTTCTCCTCCTCAATCGATGTGGGATCTCACAATCTACCCTCTTTGGGGCCAGCATCCTTGCTGACACACCAGCCCAAGCTCATCGCTGGTAGATATTGTTCGCTTTAGCCCGTTACGTATCGTCATCAACCTCACAATTTTAAAACGCGTTTGTTAGGGAGAGGCTTTCACACACTTCTAAAGAATGCCTCGTTCTTCTCTCCACTCTCCAACCGACATGTGGAATCTCACAGGTTATCCATTGATAAGATTGCTAGCTAGGGGGAGGACCAATTCTGGATGAAAAATTAAGATGAAGGTAGTAAAATCTAATATCACCAAATCATTATGAACACGACTAGCCTTCTTGAATAACAAACCATTACTTTTCTTTTCAAATGAAACAAAACTTTAGTTAAAGGAATGTTATCAAGCAGTAGACAATGAATTTCGTTGTCAAGAACAGAGAACAAAATAAGCAGGCTGGAGGAAAGGATAGAGAGAAAAACTTCACATTATACTTGCCAAGATGAAGCTACCATTTCCTCACGATAATGACTTGCAAACTACTTAAAAGCAATTAAAATAATCCATTGTCCCGCCAGTTAGACAAAGTTTAAACATGGCCTCTCTACGTTAGCTGAAATTGAAAAGATCAACGATCTGAATTTCATATCAATTGACTCTTTTGTTGACAGATCCCCAAAAAATACATCTACTTGCCATGATTATTCTAACTTCGATACCATTAGCTTCTATGAACGTCTCCGAACCTCAGCTACACTAGATCCTCCCCCAATCATCTTAATCATAAAAACTCTTTGAGTTCATAACATCAAGGAAGACACCTTTGAGCAAGAATCGCCCTTATTTTCATCACGCAGAGTCAATTAATCGCCAGAAAATGAACGAAAACAGAACCACAGCATTCAAAACCCCCATAATGATATCTATACAGCAAGATTCGGCACTAAAAAAGATGAACCTCAGCAATCGATCAATTTACCTGGATGAAATCGCACAAGAACTGCAATTAATTGGCTGTCGGGACATCGCTGGCGGTGCCGGAGAGAGAAGGCAGAATGAAGGGATTTCGGCTTCTCAGCGGTGCAGAAATTGGAAGGTAAGAAAATGGCGACCGGATTTAAGATGAAGAAAGGGAAGGTAATGGGAACCACTAGAGTGCCGGGATGGAAAGTAATTGGCGGGACGGCGTTGGATAAATCCGTTATTGTAATTGCTGTAGCGCAGAAATTATGGGGCCGTAACATCCAACATGGGTCCGGCACTGCCCGGGCGTTGACTCTGTGTTAGGCCACCAGCCGTAATGTGAGGTCCCTATAATTTAGCACCCAAATCCTATTTTAATTCTTCCATTCCTAAATTTTATAAGGCTTTGCCACTCCAAACTTTAAATAGAAATCCTATTATCATACTAAATTCCTACTTTATGCTATAAATTTTCATTTTTATCCCAAAAATTTGAACCTCATTTTTTAAAATATATATTTAAAATCTTATTTGTTATAAAAAGATGAACTTGATACAAGTTATGGATGAAATCTCTTTAAAAAAAAAAAAATCTAATACAAAATAAAACTAGGTCACGAGAGTCCAAGTTCCTTGGTCAACTTCTTAAGAGGCAAATACTGACATTCTCCCTGTAGGAGTGATCTTGGTCAACCCAATCTGATCCACTTTTGACCTAATTTGAAAATAAGTTAAAAAAAAAAAAAAAAAAACTCTTAGAGAATCATATAAATAGTCCTATTCAACTTGAAGAAGTTAAAACACTTCTTCTTTTTAACTCCTAGCTAACTTAGTAGCTAACTTAGGTGATACTGCGTTGTTGGCAGGTTTATTTTGTCTTGTAGGGCACGTTTTTCTCCTTGTATACTTATCATATCATCACGTGAAGGTCTTTAGAGAAAAAAATATATACGACATTCGAACGATGAATAAAAATATGAAAAAAAACAACAGTTAATTCGTATGAGGATCATTACTCGCGAAAGGCGGGAAAGGTTACATCTCCTCAACCTAGAATGCAATATTAAGGAGACGAACTTTACATGAAATAAATGCAAAGTTTACCTTGTTATTCATGATAATAATAATTTATATTATATAAAATAAATAAATAAGAAAAAAAATATATGGTGTATGGGCCACATGGATAAGTGGCCCAATCTCTCAATCTGAGGGCCCAAGTGCTGTAGTAATCAAATAATATATACATCCAAACCTTAAAATTACTTTTGTTTCATCGAATTGTCTTCACAGGTTAAAAACCCTAAAGTTAACCAGGTTAAAAAAAAAGTTACCGAGTCGTAGCTGAAGTTTTATCCATATATTATAATACGTACAGTCATTAAAACTTCAAGGGCTAAAGAAGAAAAAAGGGAAAAAAATGTATTTTTTAGTTAGATGGCATCTGATTCTCCTACCGCCGACGCCGGTAACCCCTCATTCAGCCACGGTTCTTCTCCAATTTGATCCGTTGTACGGTTCCGATGAAATTCCTGTCAAAATAACAAAAAAAAAAAAAAAAAAAAAAACC